GGATCGTTCAAGGCTGGGCCGAAGCTGGGCCACAGGCGGCGTTCCACCATAAACTCCAGCGCTGGGGTCGCCGCCGGACGACACGGCGCGAACCTGCCGTAGGGGGAGGGGGGGAAGCCTTTCAGAAGAAGGCTGCTTCTCAGAGGGCGCTGGCCTAGCATCTGTAGACGAGGTCCGCGCCTTCGGAAAAGCAAGGTGAGACGAAGCCAGGACGAGGACAAATTTGGGGGAGAGTAAATCGAGAACCTCTGAGATCTGGCAGCTCTGGAGGATGTATCCGGCGTCGCGGCCTTCTCAGGGCGTTCTGGAACGCCCTGAGAGCGTTCCAGAACGCTCTGGAACGGATTTATCCTCGTCCCAGCCCCCTCCGACAGGGATGCTTCTGAGAAGCCTTCCCCCCTTCCCCTGCCCCCCTCTGCGCGTGGCCGCAGCAGTGGGCGACCCAAAAGGGGGTCCAGCTGCAAGGGGGTGGTGCAATAGATTCGGGGCCATTGTTTTGCAAATGTATTGCGTTGGAGAATTGTCTTGCATTGTATTGCAACAAATGTTTGGCACGCGAAAATCCAGAAATACATTTGCGCCACGAGATGTAATGAACGCCCCGAATGTACTGCAACCCCACAAATCTATTGCACCAAATCTATTGCACCACCCCCTTGTCGCTGGACAACCTTTTGGGTCAACCCGAGAAAGCTCTGAGAGCGTTCCGGAACGCTCTGGAACGGATTTATCCTCGTCCCAGCCACGTCCGACAGGGATGCTTCTAAGAAGGCTTCCCCCCTCCCCCTGCCCCCCTGTCCCCGAGATCCAATGTCGGGATTTGTTCCATGCGCGGCCCCCCAAAGTCTCGATCCATTCCCGGGACCATTTGTTTTTCATCCTGAGTCGTTTTTTGGCGGTCCGGGACCCTGCGAGGGCCCCGAGAGGCCGAAAGTTGAGAAAAACCTCCGTCCTGCTTTTTTCTATGCGTTGGATCTGAAGGGGCCCTAGGACGCACAAATAAATAGACACAAATAACATGATTCCCCATAGTTTCTAGGTTTTTGTCTTCCCCCCACATACCATATTTTCTCATATTTTCTGGGGAATCGTCGATTAATTGTGTCTGTGTGTTTCTTTCCATCCTGTGTACGAATCGTGACGTCGTGGGTCTGGGGATGCAGCACGAAGATCGACTTTGCGGTTCGCCGCAATCAGCTGAAGTGTCAGTCTGAGCTCCTCGGAGGCTGGTCGGTGACCGCGTTGGTATCGACTTTCGTCGTGGCTGCTCTCTCCCGGAGCCACGAGGGTGGCCGACGCAGAAGTCCACTCGGTAGAATCCCCTCTCCCTCCACTGAGTCAGGGGGACGTAAGACCTGGATACAGTGGACTCGGAAATCCCCGACGAGGTCGTCAAACAATTGACGAGGCCGAGCCTGCATTTTGACGAGGCCTCCCGCTGCAGACATCCCACGAAACTCCTCCTCGTCAAAATCCGAGGCGCGGTCGTCAAAAAACGATGGCGAACCCGAGTCCTGGCAAACCCGGGTCTTACGCTCCCCCGACTGAGGGGCAGCGATAGGGGGACCTGGCACAGGGGGGGCTGCACCGACCTGAACTCGGCCGACAGAACGGCGAGGGGCTCCCGAGAGCGAATCCGAGCCTTCCTGGGCGGGGTGGGGCTGTCGGGCCCCACATCGACGATCCATGGGCGAGTGGGGAGGAGGAGGAGGAGGAGGAGGAGGAGGAGGAGGAGGAGGAGGAGGAGGAGGAGGAGGCCGAGGAGGAGGAGGGAGGAGGGAGGAGGAGGAGGAGGAGGAGGAGGAGGAGGAGGAGGAGGAGGAGGAGGAGGAGGAGGGGGAGGGAAAGGAGGAGGAGGAGGAGGAGGAGGAGGAGGATGAGGAGGAGGAGGAGGGGGATGAATGCCTATCCCCCCTGTCGTCGCCCCTGATTCTCATCCCCCTCCCCTCGAGCGCACACGGCCCAAGGCGCACAACTCTCTCGGGGATCAAGCGCGCCGCGGTGCCGGGTCGGCCTCGCACCACGGGTGCGAGGCCGATCCCGGTGGCCAGGCGGGGCGAACTCGGTCGACGTGCGATGATTGGAGGGCAAAAATCCACCCCGATGATAACCACCCCGACACGCGAAGCCGTGTAGCAAACGCGCCCAAAGAAGGGATCGAACGGGGCAAGGCTGACGCCCAGGGCCGTTTATATAGTAGACGCGAATTGTCCCGTCGGGTGGTTCTTCCTCCCTTGAATGACGATCTGGACGTGCCATCGTCTTTCGATGGATGCAGCATTCCAGCATTCCAGGTCGATGCACGATGCTGTTCTGGACATGCCATTGTCTTTCGATGGATGCAGCATTCCAGGATGATCCTCGTGCGCGCCGGCAGCGGTTTGCTTTCAGGCGGTGGCGACGTGGGGAGGCGGTAGGCCTCCCCTCTCGGCACGTCATGACCTGCGGGGTCGCAGTGCGAGCCTCGGGCGAGGGCTCGGACTGCAGCGTCTGGCTCCGCGCGTGCGAGGAGGCCAGGCAGCTGCAGCGGTTGGTGCCGCTGCTGAGCGAGGCGGGGAGGCGAAGGATCAGCCTACCGACAGCAGCAAGAATGCTCGGATCAGCACGCTGGGAAATGGCGGACAGCGCGCCAGGAATGGTTCATGGTGTCGCTGTTTTTTGAATTCAATGTGCGCGAGTGTGGTCAATTGCAGTCTTCGAAGTTCTCATCCATGTTCACTGCATTGTGATGTCGGTGGTTTCGAAGGGGTGTGTTGGAATTACATTGCAAGGGCAATCGACGGGTATAGGTATCATTGAGTGTTCGCTTTGCCGTGTTGTTGGTGGTGCGCAGACTGATCCTGAATCAAGAATCGTCATCGCATTCGGGGCCCGCACTTTGCAGGCAGGAGGAGCTGTGGAGCATCAGGCACCATTGGACACTGAACTGTCCTCTTGGTGCAGGGTGGAGGCCCTCTTCCGTATCGTTGCAGTCTGGCCTTGGAGGCAGCATCCTATGCCTTGCCTCTGGCGTCTGGCTCGACCCCTGCGTCGAGTAGGGTGTGGTGTGGTTGCTGGATGTCGGTGTTGCTTCGCGCGGCCCCGATCTTTCGAATTTGAATTCAGTCAGTTCCAGTGCCGTTACCATGCTCATCGGTACTTCCGCGCGGCAGGATCCAACCCTGAACGGCTCCTCCTGCCGCCCCATGGAGCGCTTCGCTCCCCAACGCCGACCCAAAACAAGTCCACGCGGGTCTCCGACAATGTACGTATGTCCGTGTGCAGTCGGACCTAGGCCAGAAAAAAAAATCCCTAAGAATATGAGACTCTGCTACATCCCATGGGCACCCTCCGAGGATGCACAGGAACATCCGACAAACACGACAAACGCCTGGGCACCCTCCCCGGACCGACGTCCATCTGATGCCCTGATCCCCGACCGTGGTCGTTCCTCCCCATTGTCCCCCTCCTCCTCCTCCTCCTCCTCCTCTCCTCCTCCTCCTCCTCCTCCTCCTCCTCCTCCTCCCCTCCTCCTCCTCCTCCTCCTCCTCCTCCTCCTCCTCCTCCTCCCCTTCCTCCTTGTCATCCATTTCTTCTTCCTCCTCCTCGTCCTCCTCCTCCTCCTCCTCCTCCTCCTCCTCCTCACCCACGCCTCCCCCCGCGGGTCTTGACGCTGCCGAAGGTGATCTCGGAGGTCTCCACGTCCTGGCCGCGGGCGGCGCGCACGAGGGGCAGGCGCGAGGGAACTCGTTTTCCGAGAAGGCGGGGGGGGGGGAGGGCGTTTCCCCCGGGGCCGTAGGCGCCGCGAGGAGGAGGAGGAAGGGGAAGAGGAAGTGAAGGAGGGGGAGGGAGAGGAGGAGGAGGGGGAGGAGGAGGAAGAGGGGGAGGAGGAGGAGGACCAGTGTAAACCCAAAAGCCAAACGACGTTGGACCAAACACTCTTTCCAAGTTCCCCGTTTGTTTCTCATAGGCCCCTGCAGCGGTTCACTTCTATCGATGGAAGTGCCTCGTTGGAAGACACCCGATTGAAGACCCTGAACCATGTCAAAATATCGCTCCCGGGATTACATGCCACGGATCAACCTGACTGTTGCGTTTTGACGTTCCAGAATCGCACCGGAACGCCATTCCTATGACTTCACCACTGAAAACCAATGTTACTGCTGCGCCCGAATCATCTTCGATCCGTCCAAGACGCCATTTCTGGTACGCTGATGATGACAATCCGTGGTGGAGCTTTTGAAAGTGCTGTAAGCGAACGTGCGCGGCGCTGAGGCGAGAGCCGCGTTTTGACCAGCAACCGCCATCAATCCGTAAAAGTATTGCACCTTTTTTTTTTTAAAAAAAAAAAAAAAAAGAAGAAGGAACGCGCGCGGCGCTGAGGCGATAACAACATTTTGAATACCACCCGCCCTCAATCCGTGAAGCTCTTGAACATGTTGTCAGCGAATGTGCGCGGCGCTAATTCGAGGGCCACATATTGAATGAACCCCCTCGCCCTCAATCCGCGAAGCTCTTGCAAATGGTTGACTATGCGCGGCGCTAACGCGAGAACCACATGTTGAAAACGACCCGCCGTCAATCCGCGAATCTCTCGCAAATTTTGAAAGCGATTGTGCGCCGCGCTGAGGCGAAAGCCACTCGGCGAAAACGACCCGCCCTCCATTAGAATTTTCAAATCAAAAATGGCGTGGAGGTCTTAGCCGAAACGCCCAGCCCACACCGAAAACTGGCTTCGGGGTGCGACAGAGAGAAATTACGAATAAGGAAAATGAATGGAGGAGGAGGAGGAGGAGGAGGAGGAGGAGGAGGAGGAGGAGGAGGAGGGAGGAGGAGCAGGAGGAGGAAGAGGATGATGAGCGAACCTCAGGAGGAGCGGTGCCGCCCCCCCCGCGCACGCCCGCGCGCCGCGCGCCCCGCGCGCCGCAGCGAGCTCTTACGCCAGCGTCCGCCAGCGCCCTCACGGTCAGCGTGCGCTGCGCACGACAGAGTCGCGGGTTCCGCACGCCGCCATCAGCCCGTCAGCGGCTCGATGGACACCGCGAGCTTGCCAGGGACCGCTGGCGCCAGCTTCTTGGCGAGCCTGGCGATGGCGGCCTTCGCCTTGGCTGAGGGTGGCCACAGGCCGCAGTGAAGCTCGAGCCCATCACCCCGCAGGCTGCGCGCATCACCACGGGCATCTCGCGCACGAGGTCCGCCTCGCGCTGGGGCAAGAGCTTGACCAGCATGTGCACGTCCTTGCCAGCCTGCTTCAGCGCCTCGTTGTAACTGAGCGCCGCCGCGACGATCGAGCCAGGGCACTCGCTGGCGCGCTCCGCCAACCTGCAGCGGCTGCACCACCGCTTGCCCTCGGGGCCCCTCCAGTCGCAGACGAGCTTCGCCACGGGCTCGACTGCTGCTGCTGCCTTCGGAATTGGGCAATTGGCTTTGGCGACCCTGTACGTGGTGTCCCTGCCGTCCCTCACGCCGCCCACGGAGGAGGAGGAGGAGGAGGCGGAGGAGGAGGAGGACGGGTCGCCGAAGCCCTTCGGAGAGACCATCCAAGCCTCTCATAAGGAGGGCAGGGACCGCCCCGAAGGGGCCCCGAGCCCAAATCCCCTCGCGCTGGCCAAACATCACGGCGGACAATTTTTCGTTACGCTCGGTCTCTGAGGACCCTGACCGGGCCTCGGGGCCGTCCAAGAACGACTCGGGATGAAGAACCGGCCCCGGGGAAGGGGCGTCCAGGCCTGTGGGGCTCGACGCTGTGAGAAGGCTGCGACGCGGGAGGTCTGGGAGAGGCTCCTGAGGAGGTTTCTTAGAAGCCAGGAGGGCTCCCGAGAAAGCACCCTGCACTCACTACAGTGAGGGCGCGGCCGCAAGAAACCCTTGCAAGAAACCCAACCCTGAAAACCCGCGCGCGGGGTGCGCCTGAGGGGAAACCGCGAGCGCCCTGAACGCAGCAGCTTCTTCAGCGGCTGCGGGAAGTCACCGCGCCGCGCGCGGAGCGAAGACACCCAGGATACCCTGACGAAAAGCACATGGTTTCTTGATGCGCGCCCCCACTGTATTCTTCCCTCCTATGACACAGACAAATGAGCTCTTCGTCCGCCCCACGTCCTCTGCATGTCAAGGCTCCTCCACCGCCAGGGTCGCCGCACAATGAGAATAGTCGGCGAGCCCCACGCTGCCCTCGCGACTCACGAGACCTTGCAACCTGCTTGGCCTCCCTTGCCTCCTCCTCCTCCCCCCTCCTCCTCAATCTCCCTCTGCTGCTCCTGCTCCTGCTCCTCCTCCTCCTCCTCCTCCTCCTCCTCCTCCTCCTCCTAGTCGTCCTCCTCGTCCCTCTCCTCCTTCTCCTCCCTCCTCCTCTGCTGCTCCTCCTCCTCCTCCTCTCCTCCTCCTCCTCCTCCTCCTCCTCAATCTCCTCTGCTCCTCCTCCTCCTCTCCTCATCCTTCTCCTCCTCCTAGTCGTCGTCCTCCTCCTCCTCCTCCTCCTTCTCCTCCTCCTCCTCCTCCTCCTCCTGGTCCTCCTCCTCTCCCGTCTCTGCTGCTTTTGACATGTGTAGTCGCTGGGCGAGGAAGGCCCTTTCAGTCTCCAGAGAAGCAACCCACCTGAAAACCCAAATACAAATTTTAAAAAAAACAAAGACGTCAAACATCATCCGCCCTCCTCCCCCCTCCTCCTCCCTATCCTCCCTCCTTCTCCATTCCTCCTTCCCCTTTCCTCCTTCATTCTCCCCTCCTCCTTCCTCCTTGCTCTTCCTCGCACCTTCCTATTCCTCCTCCTCCTCTTCCTCCTCGTCGTCCTTCTCCTCCTCCTCCTCGCTTGAAGGACGACACGGGGGGGAAGCACATATGGGTCAAGGAATCAGGAGCACGCACGTCCTTAGCTGTTTTTGGTCAGGCGACTCCTGGCGCTGAAGGCGGCCATATAGGCAGGAACAAAAAGGCGTAGCGGAGGTGCCGAAACCTAGATCCTCATTTCCCAACGCGGATCGGCAGTACGTCCCCCTCTCCCAACATCAATACATGAACTTGGAATCGGCGAATCGTCGCCGATAGCTCGGCGATTCGCCCTTGATAGCGCAACCGACGGTCCGGCGCGGGGGGTGGCGCACCCCCGCCCCGCTGGGCGAGGAGTGGGCGATCGGGGGTCGATACCTCCCCCTGTGATGAGCAATAGAAATGCCAGTAACCCTTTTGGGAGGGGACCCGAGTTAGGAGGCCCAGACATATTAGGGATAGAGTGTATTTTCTTTCTGCAGATGAGCCTAACGAACAACCTCTGATGTTTATGGATGCTTCGAAAGAGCAGGGGCCTAAGTGAAGTCACACATTCATTGTGCTATCAGTATTGGGGGTTTTCTGCATGACCCTGGGCCAGGCCAGGCGTCGTTGTCCCTGGCAATCGTTAACTCGGCGGCGAGCGAGGGTGGGAAAAGAGAACGATAAGGCCTTCTGAGAAGGCTCGGAAAACCCCCGGCCTCCTGAGAAGCCTTTGCTCTGAACTTCCCCGATGACAAGGCAAACTTCTCAGGAAGGCGCGAGGGCTTCGGAGAGTCCCGCCGCCTTTTGAGAAGGCCTTCTCCTCCTCCTCCTCCTCCTCCTCCTTCTCCTCGTCCTTCTCCGTTCCCCCCTCGATCGCCACCGATCAGCTCCGATCCTCCAGCCCTCCGTCGCCGGCGCGGTGCACCCGCCCACCTCCCCCCAGCTCTCTCTTTCGGCGGGCTCCGTCTCTGAGCTGGAGAGGAAGACGGAGTACAGCGTCTGGTGGAGCTTCGCGGTGTCCTGGCAGGCAGCGATGGCGGCGGCGAGTTGGACGACGACGACACCGACGGCGACACCGACGACACCGACGACAACGACGACAACGACGACGACGAGGACAATCACGACGACGTTGACGACGGCGACGCCGACGACGGCGGCGGCGGCGGCGACGACCACGACGACGACGCCGACGACGGCGGCGGCGGCAACGACTACGACGACGACGGCGACGAGCACGACGGCGAGGCAGACGACGGCGACGACTGAGTGGACGACGAGGTTGACGATGGAAGCGACAAGGTGGTCAGCCAAAGAATTGGAGGGTGTTTCGCTCATCGGGCTCTTCCATCCCCTACTCATTCTCCTTAATTTCCTCCTCCCTTTCCTCCTACTCCTACTCTCGCTCCTCCCTGGGCATCAGACATCCAGCATCTTGTCTTTCTGAGCAGACTTGTTCCCCAGAGGTCTGGACCCCTTCCCGGAGACTGGCTCTTCCATCCCGAGTCGTTCTCGACGGCTATGGGCAGGGCCACCGGAGGCTGAAAACTGGCAACTACCTCTTTCATGGCCGCCCCCCCTCCTCCTCCTCCTCCTCCTCCTCCTCCTCCTCCTCCTCCTCCTCCTCCTCCTCCTCCTCCTCCTCCTCCTCCCGCTTCTCCTCCTCCTCCTCCTCCTCTCGCCCTCCTGTGGCACGAGGGCCAGGAGGGGCCTTCAGCCTCTCCATCATGTTGAACTCGGTGCCCTGCGACATGGAGAGCAGGGCAAGCCCCAGCACCTGCCGCGAGAGGGGAGGGGACAGGAGGGGAAACAGGATACAGACACAGGGCATCGTCGATGCCCCAAATAGGTAAGAAAATAGGGGAGCTGGGGGAAGGCGAGGATCCAGGAAATCCTCCGATCCGGCGTGTGAGTTTCAGAAAGCTACAACCTGAGCTTCAGCTCTGCTGGGGGGGGCCGGGGGGGCTCTGCCGGGGTAGGGGGGGGAGGGGGGGGGGGGGTCATGGGGTCCACCCTTTCTTCCCCCCCCCCCCGGGAATCCCAAACCGCCCCAAGACGGGCCAAAAGGGGCCCAGGAGGCCACCAAGACGGTCCAGGAGGCGCCCGAAACGGCCCAAGCGCGCTCCTGGACGGCGAAGATGGCCTGAAGACGGCCCAAGGGGCCTCCAAGACGCCTCAAGGAGATCCCAAGAGGACCCCCAAGCGGGCCCCAAGAGGGTACAATGATAAAGTTGCTAATAGGTTTTGAAGCATTTTAACATTATCGCCTTTTCCGTCTCACAAGCGCCGACGACGGTCCAGTAGGCCCCAAAAATCGCCCCAAGACAGCCAAGGAGGCCCCCAAGAGGAGCCAAGACGGTCAGAGAGGGCCCCAATATAGCCCTGGAGGCCCCCCAAGACGACCCCGAGAGGCCCCCAAGATGGCCTCGAATGGACCCTGCTAGTTCTCCACCCCAAGATGACCCTAAGAGCCCCCAAGATGCCCCCGAGGCGCACCCAAGGGGCCCCAGAGGCTCCCAAGAGGTCCCCAAGAGGCCCCCAAGAGGACCCCGAGAGGCCCCCAAGAGGCCCCAAAGGCCCCCAAGAAGCCCCAAGAACCAACAGGCCCCAAGAGGCGCTCACTCGCGTGCTGCCAGGCCAGAGGTGCACGGCCTGACTTGGTATTGCTCGGAAGCGAAAGCGATGAACGAAGAACCTACCACCCGTCGCCGTCACCAGTCGTCGGTCGTCGGCCGTCGGCAGCCGTTCGTCGTCAGTCGTCGTCGTCGTCGTCGTCGTCGTCGTCGTCGTCGTCGTCGTCGTCGTCGTCGTCGTCGTCGTCGTCGTCGTCGTCGTCCTCGTCGTCGTCGTCGTCGGTTCGTCGTAATTATCCCGCTCGTCGACCGTTGGTCGTCCGTTGTCGTCGTCATCGTCCATTTCAACAACAATAGCATCAGGAGCGCCCCAGATCGGCGGCACTGGCCGGAGGCCACTACGATATAAAACAATGGGGAATCCTGGGATTTGTGCATCTATCTGTGTGTCCTTGGGCCCCTTGAGGGGTGTACATGGCAGATAGCGCGGCGCGGAGGCGCAAGCCCCGGCGCACCTCGTGCGGAGGCCGAGTGGCAGCTGGCGGCTGGCACGCGAGACCAAAAGCGCAGCCGGGAGCGAGGGCGTGGGACGGAGGAGGGGCCGGAGGCGAGCGAGGGAGGGGGTGAGTGCGAAGGAGAAGGCCTCCTCAGGAGGCGGCGGGACTGCTGAGGTCCCTCGCGCCTTCTGAAATAACTTCTGTGTCCTCGCCGAGGGCTCAGGGAACTTCTCGGAAGGCCGGGAGACTTCTGGGGCTTCTGAGAAGGCCCGCCCCTTCCCACTTCCCCCCCAGGGCTCGCAGCTGCGCAGCCGGTCCTCCACGGTGTCACTGGCCATCCATTCCCCGTGCATGTCTCGGTTCCGTGCATGTTGTGTACAAATGATGCGGGATGCTCCTCCATGGTCCTAGCCCCCATGAAAATCACAAATCCGAGCGATGCCAGGACACATCCGGCGTCGTGGCTTCCCCCGTTCGCTCGCCGCCGAAGGGGGCACAAAAAACCCCTGGCATCGTGGAAGAAACGCGACGGAGAATTCTTCGCTAGGAGGCGCCGGACCTCCAAACCGCCAAGAAGCGACGCAGGAGGAAGAGCCGGTCCCAGGGAATGGGTCGAGACCTCTTGGGGTCCACGTTGCGAACAAACCACGACGTTGGGGGATTTCGAGAAGGAGCATTCTCGGTTCTGCCCTCGGCAATCGAGGAGGGGGGTCCCTGGAA